TGAACGGTTTCTTAATGCCTATACAAAGCCGGTAATTGTTTCTTAACGCTACTTTTCCTTGACTTGCCCTGGCTTTAAACCGGATAATGCATATTTTGTGTTTATACCTGGTGCTGCTGTTATACTTTAGAGTTAGTTATGGGAATGTTCGTTCATTCCCGGTGATTACAACATGATGATCCTCTGTCATTTTGTTGTTGAGGACGACCATACATATGATTAGCTGTAAGATGAGCAGAGAGATTGCATTTTTAGGCGTGATGCGATACAAGAGCTTATTTTGTTGAAGTATTCATGTATTAAGAGGACTATAGCTTAGTTTTAAACAATTTTTACACTTTATTTTTAGGATAAACTCTATAGGACTATGAAGTCATGGTTAAGCTATGAACTAGCTTGATCACACATTTAATACATAGTTAAAGATTCACAAAGAGGTGCCCCTTGAATATCATCAGATTGTTTAGTAATTCATGTAAATATTTAGCGACGTAAATCCTAGAAGAAAACTTTATTGATTTCCTTCTACTATATACAACAACCGCTACTATGACCCTTACACCACGAAATACCATTGGCTTGTGGTTTTAAAAATTACAAAATTTGTGTGAAAAATTACAAAATTTGTATTCTATATATTTACTTCTGAAGGACATAGACCTACGATTTTAATAGTATATCCAAGAAGAGTTGTTGGCCTTTAAGGGAAAAGAGTACATGTCTGGCTGGTATGAACTAGGATTTTTGACTTTGCTCTAAAAGTAACAAAATGGCGGAAATTTGAAAAAATATTTTTGGAAAATCGCCGATTTTTGACCAAAAACCAAGTTAAAAAATAAGGAAGATCTTCACCGATTGGCTTTATCCTAGTTCATACGATATCTATACACTCACAGAGAAACGTGTAAAAATTTGGAATCGATTGCTATGTTAGTTTTTGAGTTATCGTGCCCGCCATTCACAAAAGAGAAAAACGCGTTTAAAGTTTGAGAAGCCCTTTATCCGTCACTTGATGCTGACACAATAAATCTTCAAGAGTTCTTGAGAATTTCACTTGAAATTTTGTAGGGACATTCTTGAATTAGTGAAGATTTGAATTAAATCAAAAAAAAAAAAAAAAAAAAAATTGACCCCAAGAATTGGGGGGGTCCCTTAAATTGATACTAATTATATAGTTATATGTACTCGGATGTGTGAGTTAGACGTAAATATTTAAGGTGGTCTACGTATTCTGATATCGTTTAGTATTTCCTTTACCACACTAGGGGCTGAAATGTCGCGCTGATCGCTATGAAATTATACATGAAGTTACGGTAGAGCTCAAGGACGACGCCTATTCGGTGATGTTAAACATATAACGGCTGTTTAGGCGATGATCGGTCAATATTCCGAGGGCGAAATCAGCAAAAACCTAAAGTGACCAAATTTTTATTTTATGGCGTAAATATTAACCCCGGGAAAACAAGATTTGAGAAATATGCCTGTGTTAGAAAGTGAGCTTTTGACATATAATCGGTAAAGAGGGTGCAACTATATCTGTACACCAAACAACACATGTTACTCGTCTACGCCGATGACATCGATATAATGGGTCGAACATTGCGAGCGGTAACAGCCACCTTTGAACAAATTAAAAAGGAGTGTGCCAAAGTGGGTCTGGCAGTAAATGGCAAGAAGACCAAGCTGATAATATCAACGCGCAAGACGTCCAGTAGACTTGGATCAACGGTGGAACTTGAGAACTACAGCTTCGAGGTAGTTAACGACTTTATATACCTTGGTACCGCCATAAATAAAACGAATGACATCAGTTTTGAAATTCGGAGAAGGATTGTGATGGCCAACATATGCTATTATGGTCTAAGTAAGCAGTTTAGTAACAAGGCCACCTCCCGCCAGACCAAACTCACATTTTACAAGACGCTGATACTACCCGTGCTATTATATGAATCAGAAGCATGGGTACTTGCACAAGCAGATGAAGCAGCTCTTGGGGTGTTGGAGAGAAAAATTCTCCGAAAGATATACGGGCCGATCTGCGTCGACGGTGAATATCGGCGTTGAATGAACCACGAGCTTTACAATTTATACGCGGACATCGACATAGTCAGTCGTATTGAGCTGCAGCGACTACTGTGGCTAGGCCATGTTGTGCGGATGAATGAAAATGCCCCAGCTCAAAAGGCATGTAAAAATGAGCCTACTGATGGTTCCCGTAGAAGGGGAAGACCACGAATTAGATGGAAAGACCAAGTAGAAAACAACATCTTGGAACGTGGTCTTCCAAATTGGTGGACTTGCGCACAAGACCGACGCGCTTGGAAATCTTTTTTAAGCTCGGCTTATGGAACAACCGTTCTGTAACAAGCCAGCTAAGTAAGTAAGTAATGGTGCAAATATTGCGAAATATTACCCAGGCTCAGAATATAGAACCGCAAAGGTTAGATTTTCGTGGTAGTTTTGTAGGGTATCATAAGATCATATAATCGGCCCCGTCCAACTATAATGCTCCACTCACTGATGTTTTCTCTAAAACGATTTCAAAAAAACTTAACATATGTTACACTAGTCCGGATTTCGGTATGTTGTGTAAAATCGGACAGCTTTTGGGGCTTTGGTGTACCATTGGTCTCAACCGGACAAACATTGTATCTTGGTTGAATTTTGTGAATTCGGATAAAACAATATATGAGAGTTATTTCTAAATCTGAACAGATTCTTACCAATTTCAATAGGGCTCATCCCTGGGTGAAATATATGAGCTGTACCAAATTTCATCTCATTCGGAACACAAATGAGACCTGTATTTTTTTATACCCTCCACCATAGAATGGAGGGTATATTAATTTTGTCAGTCCGTTTGTAACACATAGAAACATTCATATATTCTTGATCATCGTAAAATTCTAAGACGATCTAGCCCTGTCCGTCCGTCCGTCCGTCCGCCCGTCTATTGTAATCACGCCATCTTCTGAAGGAATTGAGATATGGTGCTGAAATTTTGCATAGGGTTGTCTTTTGTCTGCAGTCAGGTCAAGTTCGAAGATGGGATATATCGGTCCCCGTTTAGGCATAGCTCCCATATAAGCGTACCCCCAATTTTCGGTATTTTGAGGTTCCTGAGCGTGATTTTCAACCGAATTCGCTGAAATTTTATACATGGGGCTCTTATTGGGTACCAAATTTCCCCACTAAAAATTATAAATATAGGTCCAATTTTTCGTGTGGCCTCCATATAAGGGTACCTCCCTATTTCCAGTTTTTGAGGGTTTTGACCGGATTTTTTCACCGAATTGGCTGTATTTTGAATCTCTAATAGGTACCAAATCTCCCCACAAAAAATTATGAATATAGGTCAAATTTTTCGGATAGCCCCCATAGGGTACTAAATGACCCCACAAAAAATTGTAAATATAGGTCCACTTTTTCTGGTAGACCCCATATAACGGTACTCCTAATTTTCAGTATTTTGGGGGTCTTGAGCGCATTTTTCAACCGAATTCGAAGCAATTTGGTATTTTTTGGTAACAAATCTCTCCACCAAAAATTATTAGTATTCAATCTTCGAAATTGAACTATGTTTGGAAGAGACCCGGGAGGCCCGGCCCCCCCCCTCGAAATGAATTTTTTTCACAGTAAATTTATGTTTGCAACAGCGAATTTTTTCATTTTGTACTACCAAATATTCTATTCTATTGATTGCAATGATTGCGCTCACAAATTAGTAAATATTAAATATATCCACAAACACATAAGATATCCGCTCGTTATCTCCATTATATTCTATAATGCGGCTAATAATTGCCAATTTTCACTTAATTAGCATTCTCAAAACATACACACACACTCTAGTAAATTTCAGTCGTCCCACAAGTTGCAGTTGCCCTTTTAACAAGAACAACAAGGGTCACATATTGTGCCACTTAACCCTTTCTTTAAATGATCTCATGATCTGCATGACAAACTTCCCAAGAATGGCATTGTTGTGCTAAACATTTCAAACAAAACAAAATAATTTTGAAGCAAAACTCTGAAATTAGCCCACATTAGTTACATTGTCATTGTTTTGACAAAAACACCAGGGGATTTTCTTGCCATCCTCCATGCTAGATATGCGAATTTTCCATCGAAATTCTATTGCTAATATGTGAATCCGGTCGTCAAAATTGTACGTTTTCGATTAACCCTTTCCTTGGTGCAAATTACAAATTGGCTAGATGGATGGAATTCCTGGTACCTGATTAAAACAGGATAAAGATAAAGAACATAGACAGTTTGGCAAAGATTAAAACGGAAAAGAGTTGAAGTCCGATTAAAGGAACCGGATTTAGTAATTTAGTAAATTAAACAATGCACAACTATGTGGGCATCAGAGGAATACACGCCCTAACACGAACAACAGATTTTAGGTAGCAGGTAAGTGTGTGTGCGGTGTCGATGACACACGCACACATAGCCGTAATTGGATCGAATGTGGGATCAATGAATGAATCCAGTGGCTTTCATTGATCTGAGCGATCAAACACGAACAAAATTCCCTTGGCGATGGGCGAAAGGGTAAACATCGCCAACACTCAGCAGGCAGGTAGACGAAAGCCAGTAGGATTGTGGGCCGAGTTTGCGGATTTGATACCAGTAGCCCGGGCACACAGTGTCGCCAAGTAGTCCTTAAGCTAAGCTTACTTCAAGAATTGCCAGAGTTAAACTGTGGATTCATTAATCCAGCGTAAGTGATCGCGCACACACACTGAGGAGATGAACGCTTTCAGCGTAGATTTGAAACATGTCGTACAAATCAGCGAATTAAATTTGAATATCCGTTGATTAAAAGGATTGTAGATTTTTCAGAGGCGAGCCTGGAATATGGCAAGGACTATAAGTACTTTGGCGGAGGAGTGGAAATGCATCAGTCACTGCTCAGCAATCGTAGTGAACACATCTCAACAAACATAGAAACAATTTTTACAAATTAATATTTATTTAACACAAACACATCGAAAATGGCTCCTGTATTCCAATCGAATTTCTCCATTCGTTCCCTGTTGTCGGATAAGAAACCAAGTTTCGAGGATACGGAAATGTCATACGTTCCCAGTGCTCCCATCAGTCCATCGGCAACATCACAATCATCAGAGGAAATGTTAAGTGATGATGCATCATCGACCAGCAGCAAATCATCGGATTCCAAACCTGCCTACACCTACAGTGCCTTGATTGTCATGGCCATCAGAAGCAGTCCCGAAAAACGCCTAACACTCAGTGGAATTTGCGAATGGATAGCTGAAAACTTTGCCTACTATCAAAAGAACAAAAGTGTTTGGCAAAACTCCATACGCCACAATCTTAGCTTGAATCCCTGTTTCGTTCGTGTTCCACGTGCTTTGGATGATCCAGGACGTGGCCACTACTGGGCTTTGGATCCCTCTGCCGAAGATTTGACTATTGGTGAAACCACCGGCCGCTTGAGACGCAGTAACAATGCCATGATTGGTCGTTCCTTTGGACCTGGTGCCATTCGCACAAAATCAGCTATGCACTATGCTTCACCATATGGCGGTCATCATCATCATCCCTACCATCAGGCAATGACAAATACCATGGCCTATGCTCATCATTACACACCCAATGCTGTATATTTCCCAACACCCGAAGAAATTCGTTTGGCTCAACAGACTGCCTTATTGCAAAGCCAACGGGAACAACAAGCCTGGTCCAACTATCAGAGGCAACAACAGCATTTACAACAAATGCAATACCATCAACAATACCTTATGCAACAAGGTGGCATCCCAATGTAAAGTGAAGAATTTTGAAGGAATCGGAAATATGAAACTCCTACGATAACCACAAAGTGGTTGAATAATGTTTGACATGGAGTTTTCTTACTTGGCTACTTCAAAACAACCAGATCCAAAGGGAGAATTTGTAATATGGCTCATCACACAAATGCGTAGAACGCGCTTTAGCTAATAGTTTAACTAGTAATAATTGTTTAAGTTTTATATGTAATAGAAAAATTGAATGCCTATTTTAAAAATAAATAAATAAATATATTAAAAGAAAATTTAATAATATTTTGTTCTTATTATTTTAAATACAAACATAAAAGAAAGTGGAAAGAAATCGATGAGTTGAAACAGGGATATCGAGGTCTTGAATGCATTATTCCAAATTACAGCCAATTTGGTTTAATAATTTTTATTCTTTTATACTTTATAGAGTCTCCGGTGAATATTTCGAGGATTTGCAAATGGATTCACAAACTTTAATATACCGAATAACCACTTTTTTATCGAAAAATTGTGTACGGCTCATTTTTGTTCAATGGGTACATAATTAAGCAGATTTGTCAATTTTGAAATGAAGATCAGCCAGAAGCATAACAAAAGCTACCAAAGAAACGAGAAAAAATTACGACTTGGTACGGTTTATTAGCTGTTGGGATCATTTGACCGTACTTTTTCGAAGGTAAAGACCACTTGATTCACAATCACGTTCAACATTTGCACGAAATAATCATAAAATTTAAATTATAAAACGTTCTATCGATTAATATAAAGATACCATGCATTCTTCTGAATTATATTTTTAACTCTCCTATAGCTCTTTAAAAATCACCATTTTTACTTACCGCCGATTCTACAATAGTGCACCAAAAATGCCTATGTTAATTCGTTTGAGACAAAAATTTGCTAAGCGAACCAAATTAAGTTTTATTGAATTCGGTTTAGATTTAGACATTGCTTTTCATATAACTTTCTGCGGTTCTGGGCAACATTTCGGGATATTTGCTCCTCACTCTAGGTTTTGGTTGATTTGACCCTCGGAACATTGACCGATCACCATCTTAACAGCTGTTCTAAGTATTTGATCAGATCCTCTTCACCGTGCAAAATATGACAAAAATAATATTTTCGGTTCATTACACCCTCTAAATGTCATCTCAACACCGCCTAAAATTGTAGGTGTTGTCCTTGACCATAACCGAAACTTCAGGTAAAATTTCAAAGGATCAGCGTGACATTTACTCTTCTAGATTTTTTTAAATTTGTGAATACAATTTTTCACACCAAAGTCTGCGAACCGGAAAATATTGATCGTTTCTTCATTAAAAAAGTCTTGGCGACACTTTGCCCAGATTTCCTTTCTGGTGTAAAATTTCGTGGCGTTCGGATCATAATTGTGGCCTCTAGAGCGACCTGAAAATCCGACAAAAATAAAATTTTTGGTACATTTCATCCCCTGAATATTAACGGATGATTACTAAAAACAATAGGGGTATTCTTTGGCCGGAACCCGCTATACACGCAAAATTTCGTGGTCCACAATTGTTGGCTGTATGGTGTTTGCAAATTATAATGGACAGAGAGACGGCCTGACGGATACCCTTGGTCGACTAGTTAATCGTGGCTTCACGATCGGCTTTAGGATAGGTCTGTATCGTTTGATTGGTTACTTGATATCATATAATAATAAACCTTCGTCATTTTATATTGAGTTAATCCTAGGACCAATTTGATGTGCGCTAAGATTTATATCAATCAATCAAAAATAAGATTTTTGGGAGTTATAATCAACATTTATAACGCATTTCCCCTCTGGCCAGTTTTTCGAATTGAATTTTGAATAAAGTATTCAGATATAACATTAGATATATAGGGCAAAATATATGGGTTCATGTTTGGGAATAGCCCCCATTTAAGGGTACCGCCCCATTTGCGGCATTTTGAAGGTCCTTGCTTCATTATCCAACAGAAGCACTTGTAATTTCGCATATAGAGTTTTCAGAGGATAGAACACCTCCTCGCATTTGAAATGCACCCACGTTTCGAACTCGTCCTCATGAAAAGGTCCCTCTTTATTATAGTGGTCCACATTACCCGACATTAAATATTTTTATTTATAAATAATTATCGGCTTCAAAAATAAATAAAAATTAACCAGTACGGAAAGTAGTAAAGTCGGACGGGACCGTCTATATGATACCCTTCACCACTTTGGATATATTCAACAGATGAATCCTAACATTGTAAATCAATTTAAAGCAAATATCAATGGGACACCCGTTGATTATTTGGATAAATATCTAATAAACATGAGAAGTTTGTTGCACCATTTACTTAAAATCGGACAAAAATATATATAAAAGCTATATCGAAATATTAATTGATTTGATCGAAGCTTGTCACAGGTTAGGTTATACAAATTTTAGTTGCCACACGTTATGTTATAGTATCTTCAGTACGTTGTGCAAAATTTTGTACCAATCGGAAGAACCTGGGGAGTTTGGTGTAGAATTTATATCTATCTTCTAAGTTAAACTAACATCAGTACGTTCTGCAAAATTTTGTGTCAATTTTGTGTAAAATCTGACGAAAATATATATGTACAAGCTTTATCTAAATCTGAACCGATTTCAACGAGAGTTGCCAGATATTAATTTATATTAACTACAGTTCATTGTACAAACTTGTGTGGCAATCGGACAAACGTTGGGTATTTTGTGCACAATTTACATAAAATCGGAAGGAAAAATATATAGGAGACACATTAAATTAGTAGAAAATATATATGGGAGCTATATCTATATCTGAACTGATTTCACGAAACACAACACAAATCATTGTAGACTTAATTCATTACGCTACGCCAAATTTCATGCAAATCGAAAGATATATAGGGACTTTGGTATACCATTTACATTAAAACGGACGAAAATATACATGGGAGCTATATCTAAATCTGAACCGATTTCCACGAAACTTAACGCACATCATTCTAGACTATGCCAAATTTCGTGCAGATCGAGAGAGATATATAGAGACTTTGATGCACCATTTACATTAAATCGGACGAAAATATATATGGGAACTATATCAAAATCTAAACCGATTTTTAAGAAACTTGACACACATCATTCTAGACCTAATTCATTACGCTGTTACAAATTTCGTGCAAATCGAAAGATATATATGGATTTTGGTGCATCATTTACGGACGAAAATATATATGGGAGCTATATCCAAATCTGAATCGATTTTCAAGAAACTTGATACACATCATTCTAGATCTAATTCAGTACGCTGTGCAAATTTCGTGCAAATCGAAAGATATGGAACCATGTGTCTATCTCGTTTCCTTTTTCCTGTTACAAACGTATGCACAAAGACATAATACCCTGTACCACAGTGTGGTGAAGGGTATAAAAATCGCCGATTGTATTTACAGCTAAACGTATTTTTTTTTGTTAAAGAAAACGATAAAAACCACATAACTTCTTTATATTCGAGAAAAACAAAGTGTTCGACTATTTTGCAAAAACGTTCGACTATTGTGCTAAAAAATGTTCAAATCACACTTTTACAATCAAAGCTACATTTTCTACTACTACATTTTCAACATTGCAATAATTTATTAAAAACCAATTTTGATGTTTGTTTTCACTAATAAGGAAAATATATATAAAGGCGGCATTGACATATCTCAAGCATTTTCTTAGATATGGAGGGTGGTCCACATTACCCGAAGTTACTCCATGTTTTCTATTTTCTATTTTGTCCATGGTCATGTTGTGTGGATGATGCGTATTTACACTTACGTTACTCAGGAATAGTTTGAAGTCGGCATCCACGGGAAATCTTACAAGTTTATATGGCATATGTTATTCCCAGGGCATGTTATGACGTTCTGTGAACATCTTAGTAAAATCTTTTCAGCATTTTTGGCGTCTACAAAGAAAATATTTTAAATTTTCGTTGATCGTACCATGCTCATTTTTATATGGTATGGATGGATGGGAAAACGGTATCTGTAACCGTTCTTAAGATAAACGCATATTACATGTTCAGAAATTTTGACGTATGTTTACTATTGATCCTATAACTCCGCATCCACGCGGAATTTTAAAAGTTTATATAGCCTATGTTACTTTCGGGGCATGTCCCGACATACAGTGTAAATCTCATTAAGATCTGTTCAGCGGGTTTGGCGTCTATCGGTAACATACAAACAAGCAAACATTTTTTTTTTTATTTTATGTATATAGATATACTATATTTTGATAGATTTCATATAATTGCTTTACCAATATCCAAAAGTTTATTCGATTGACATGACATTATTTTGTTCATATTCCATTATAGTCCGCGTACATGTCAGGTAAACACATATATTGACCTCAACTAATGTTCGGTATTTTAAAGAAGTACAATTTTTGGAGGAAAAAACATTTTCCTATAAATTATTTAATTTTGATATAATTTTTATTAAAATAATTATCATCTGTAATATTCCTGCAATTTTGTACTTCGTTTTCCCAAATGATGTTCCCACTTATTTTAAATTATATTATTATTATTTTTTTTTAAGTCTCAAATAGTTATCGATGAACAATTTCGAAAATGTTGCATTTGATCCATAAAGTATTTTCCTTAAAGCTCCTGTCAACTGAATTAGTATTATTTCGAATTTAATTTTATTTAATTTTTTTTCATTTTATAAATGTAAAATGCTAACAAAAATGATATACAAAAATACAACTTTTTAATTTAACAAAACAAAAACAATAAAGTCTGAATTTAAACGGTAAATGAAAATCACTTGAGGCATTATTTAGCTAAAATGTCAGTTATCCTTTTGGTATCAAGTCAATTATTTAACGAATTTGTAATCACATCTCAGTCTCATGCCATCCACAATTACAACAACAAAACGGAGAGTAAACTAGAAAACAATAGAAAAAGAAAAACAACTTCATGGACCTGCACAAAAAAGGCAATAGATTCGACGTCTCTCCTTG